TCGAGTATGCTAGGACAGGTTGCCAGAACGACGAGCTCTGGGTAGGGCAGGTCGACGGAAGGGGTTAGAGTCGAGTTAGGTCTGCTCGAGTAAGAAATAATGGGGAGGATGGGGCTCCCACCTCCTGGTCTTTGGGTGTGTGAATAAGGGGTCGATGGGGGCCATGCAAACCGAAAGGAAGGGAGAGGAAGAGATCATGAATGGGGGTCCAAATCTAGAGGTCTTCGGCTTGGCTTTTGTAAGCAACCAAAGAGGTCAAGAGAGGGAAAAGGTTTTCGAATAGAGGAGTCAAGAGAGTGAGAGAGGAGGGGTGTCCCAATGATAGAGAGCCAAATTGGGAGGATATATGAATGGGAGAAAAATACAAGAGTCTTCACATGCCTTGTATGAGGAGGACCGAATATAAAAAGGAGCGGGATATCCGCATCTCGATACTCGAGAGATATTCTTCTATTTCTCTCGAGCGTGGAAGTGAACTCTATTCACTCTTCTTTGCAAAAGAAAACCCCGCGCTTCTTTCCAAAGTGAGGATATCACGCAGTCGAAGTACCTGACAATGTCAGATTTCAAAATTTGGGATGATCGGAGCCGTCGAAGCAATTTCCCGATCTTGCTATTGGATTAAAATAAATTTAAAAACTCAACGGAGATTTAATTAGAATTAGATTGAACACGTTAAGCTAAAATTAAGTTTAAATCAAAACCAATTTGACTCAATTCGGGTTAACTTGGGCTCGGATCAACTCGACCAAATTAATTCATCAAAAGTCAGACTCGAATTAATGCCGATTTAGATCGAATTGAGCTCGATGAGGTTCAATCAACTCTGTCAAATGCGCTCAAATGCAAACTATGATAAAATTGAGGTCAACAAGATAATTGTTTGAGATTTTAAGAGAAAAGTGAGGAGAGAGAAAAAATAATTTGGGATTTGGAGGTCGAGAAGCAATTTTCATTCATCTACGCTGTTGACAGATTTGCTCGTCTCGCTATAAGGAACCTTTAACTTATTTGATATTTCAAATATTTTGTGTTTTGATTTTTTTATCAAATTTTTATTTATGTTATAAAAAAATGAGAATAATTTTGCACTGGTAAAACTTTCAACGTATAACTTTTTATATGTTATAGAGATTAAGATTATGAATATTTTATGTATTTATTTGAGATTTTTCACTAAGTTATTTTGAAAATACAATAAATTTTGTCAAATTAAAAATTTATTTTGACGTCTAAAAATAATGATTTAGTTTAACTAAAGCTTAAAAATATTATTTTATGCAATATTTGGTAATTTTATTAAATTATGAAAATATGAATTTTTTGCTTAGTATAATTTTTGCTATATACCATTAGGACATTTGGGCCTTTTCTGAAGTACGCTCAATTTTATTTTATTTATTTTAATGCATTAAAAATTAATGTGGATATATGATTAGAATTATTATTATATTACTATGATAATAATGTGTGTATAAATGATAAATAAAGTCTAGTTGACTTATTGGTTGGAGACTGATTAAACTATACATGATGCTGAGCAAATGAGCATTTTAAATACTATAATTTTGTGTTGTCCTCTATTAATTCATGTGATACATTGATTATGAGTTAGAAAGAGATGATTACTATACCGGCAGGTAAAGAGTGATGACTCTATTTATTGAGCTAACTATTTACTGATACTAATATAATACTGAAAAATATTATGATAGCCAGTACTTCTTACTTGTTTAATATGACTACTAAAATGCATGTTGTTGATAAGGTATTATTCTTATTATTGTATAAATTTATTGTTTATGTGTGGATTTATTATAATTATATTATTATATTACTTCTGCCACTAGATTGTTATTGTTACTAATTTAGATATTGATAATATTTAATATTACTGATACTAAGAATGTGATATACTGAACACGTGATATATAATATTTGGATAGCATGGGTACACTCTAATATGATTTTACTATATTGATTTGATTTCAATAGTCTTTATTGATGATTTAATTTTATTGATATGTATAATTTCTTCATTGATTATAGTATTGATATGATGATTACTTTATATATTTGACACTCGTACTCATTTACTATCTTTCATGTTATACAATTTTATTATTTATATATTAATTAAATGATAATAAGAATGTTACTGTTATAATTTGACTGTTGACATACATATTGGTCTTTTATCATGCTTTGAATTCAGTTATTAGTTTTGATGATCTGCTGAGCTTTTTAGCTCATTATATGTGGTTAAATGATTTTAGGTTAGAATATAAAATAAAGAGTGTGATGCTGGTCATGATTTCTTCAGGTTCATGTTCTTTTTATTTTAGCTATTATTTTGTACTCATGACATGATAGAAATGTGATGATTGTATAGATCATAGGTATTATATATGATTTTTAGGAATGAATACATATGTGTATATTGAAATTTTGAATTATATAATCTATTTTGTTATTTATTACTAATAGATGATATTAAATAGCTCTGATTATTATTTATTAAAGATAAAAGAATAATTCTTTCAAAGTAGATTCTAGAGTATAGTATCACATCTTTCCCTCCCAATGCTTGCTTGCGCACTGTAATATTAGCCAACTACTCTAAAGTGTGTATCTTTCTCTCCTCATGCCACTCCTCTCAGAAAACTATTCAAAATCACATCACACACACATAAACATAAAATCTATTGATATTTAGTACAAACGACTCATGCACTACAACACTCGATAATGTGGCGTAGTGGTGTTCGATAAGGTGGCAACATGGTGTTACAATATAACCTAACTCCTTAGCAATACTAAAGGCTCTCTATTGCGGTGCTAGGCTAACCTAGAGCGACTGTTTGTTGAAGTGGCATGACACTTCTCTTCCATAACTTCTTTGCCACGATGCTTCAAAAGTTGGGTATTATGGCACTTGCATATGTCATCTAGTGCTGTGGTGCTTTTGAGGTTGGCACTTCGTAGATGAATTATTATGCAATTTTCTTGAGAATCCTATATTGCAATATTATTTTCTAATGCTGTGACGTTGTGAACCACTGAGGTGCTAACCTTGGTTTTGTTGGGGAGCTGAATTAATTGTCATTTTTTATGACACTCGGGCGCTACAATGTTGTTTTCTAACACTGCAACATTGTGAAGTGTTGCGGTGTTGACCTTTGTATTGCTGGGGTGATGAATTAATTATCATTTTTATTGAGACTCTAGCATTACAATGGCCTGATATGGTGCCATGGCATCACAAACGCTGTAACACTGATGGTTCTGATGTTATGGTGCTGGTTCAATACTTGTGAATATTCTCTATTTCATGAGAAATTTATATACAACATCAACTAAAGACAAACATATTCAATAGAATTTAACACAGTAAAATATTGCATAATTTTCACTTAACAATTGATGACCACACCCAAATAAATTTAGTCAGATATTAGATGTAGGCTAATGGTGGTCAAATTATGGTTGCCAAATGATGATAGTTAGACGATGGTGAATGGACTATAATGATTGGGTGACAGTGGCTAGATAATAGGCATTAGATAACAATAGTTAGTTTATTGTGGTGGGCGATGATAGTTGGTTGATAGCAATTGGTGGCGATGATCGTTGAATCATTCATTGGATAAAGCTCTAAAAATATTTAGATCTCCTAGCTCTTTTCAATTTTAAGTTCAAGGACCTTTAATGTGGAGAATGGGGGCGTATTAATAATTTTTAAGAGTGATATTTAGATAAATTTAACTAAAATTTCAAAACACTCCTATAATGACCTATGTAATCTTTTAATCATTGACCATTCATTTAATGATATTATAATTAAGTGATATTGAGTTTGTTGGATTTCTCACATCAAGATGCTCATTTTGATTGTAAGAACAAAAGAATAAAAAATTATTTGGTTCTCAAATAAACGCCTCTAAGATTTCAATCACACTTCCAGTGTTGATTTGGGGTCAATTTAATCAATTGTTGTCATTGAATTCATCTTGTCTAGGCATTCAATTCAATTATTAGTTTATTAAAATCATGCAACTAATCTTGATCTATTGGTTTATCTTGATCTATTTGTTTGAAGCTCTGGCTTCCAACCAAGATGTATTGGGTTCGAAGCTTGCTAATGTGATGTGTGCATGAGTTTGTCTTAATTGACTTAAATGTAAAAAAAAAATTATTGAATTGAAGTTTGGAAACTAAATTTAATTTAACTATATTTTTTTTAATTCCAATACTATATCAAGATTTGTACCTTATTGATTGATTTTTTTTGGTGAGGCATCAAGTAATCAGTTTAGAATAATAAAATTATATATGCATACTAATTAAACTTTAATTCCTAGTTTTAAGTAAAAAAATAAAACAATCATTTAAAAAATTAAAATATCGCGCCCTGACCAAGTCAGGGTGGCAGCGGACGGTTCCTCGTCATCACAAAAAAAAAATCAATTAAATATACTATTTTTTTCTTCCTATTAATTTTAAAAATCCTATTAATATAGGTTTGATACACGTCTAATTAAACTAGTGTTATTAAGAGCCATGACATGAATATATAATTATATACACTTGATGTCATGTTTTATTTGAGATATATATATATATATATATATATAAATTAATTTATTTCATACATAGAAATTAGATTTAAAAGAGCATGACCTTTTTTTAGTAAATTTAAATGGGAATTTGACTTTTAATATGACATTACGGAGAAAAAAGATTCATGTAGTCGACCCTATATAATGGAATAAAAGTTTGATGTTGTTGTTGTACATAGAAATTATCTCGAGAAATTTTGAAAATAACTTATCAATTTAAAATATAATTAAAAAAAAAAAACAAAAATGGAGCGTCAGAGGTGGCTGGTGAATTTCTCGATGGAGAGACGGCATTTCCTGAAACCAGCTGTATCAAATGGGTCCAGAAGAGGTCCGATCGGGCTAAGCTTTTGATCGATCTATAAATAAGCCTGGAGTCAATACGATTCGGTCCGCCTGCCAGCCTAGCCCTCGTTAACTCTCCACCCAGTCGATGCCCCAGGTTCCGCCCACGGGTCACGAACTCCATTTCTCCTTTTCCAAGTCCGAAGACGAGCAACTCCCAGAAAGAGTAAAGGGTGGAATTTGAATCGGTTTCACCTCCCCGATAGAATCAAAGGAGGAGGAAGAAATAGGAAGGCATTCGAGAAGGAGACGGAGAGGAAACTTGCGGGAAGGGGACGGAGGAGAAGGCTGAGAGATCTGTTAAGAGCCGGATCTAGATCCGGCAATCCATAGGGAAAACGATGGGGGATTTCAACTTGGCGCTGGTGATTGTAGCGGTGGTGGTATGCGTCCTTGTTTTACTCTTCAATGTCTATTTGCTGGTGAACTACCAGCACCCTGACGACAAGAACCAAGCCTATTTCCCGAAACTCGTTGTCGTCATCGGTCTCTCCATCGCCGTCATCTCGATATTGATGCTTCCGGGCGATGTTGCCAACCGGCAAGCCTGCCGCCATGCCATTTATAACGGCGCTTGCAATCTCACGCTTCCGATGAAGACGCTGTGGCTCGTCGTGTACATCACTGACGCCGTTCTCGTCTTCTTCTTCATCCCCTTTGCTATGTTCTACTACGAGGGGGACATGGACAAGTCGTTTGCTTTATGACTAGCTTATGTTTCGTTTTTTCCCTTCGGCTAATTTTGTTGCTCAAAAGGTTTTGAATTTTTTGACAGGAGCGTGGGGAAAAGGCTGTTGAGTGCGATGTTGTGGGTTGCTGTCTCCGTTGTTGTCTGCGCGCTTGCGCTTGGGATACTTTACGGTTATGTTCCTACACTCTTTTCTTTGTGATTGAGATTTTATTTATATGTTAATTTATACTTTTTTTGTTTAGGGCTTTTCTGGCTGCTTGAGGGACTTTGAATATGTTTCTGAGGTTGAAAATTTATACTGATTTCCAACTACATTTGGCCAAATGATGGAATATAGAAAATTCATTATTTTCAAAACTTGTTTTCTAACTGTAAGCAGCCCAATTAGCTGACGGTAGAGTTTCCTGTTTCTCTATGTTCAAATTTGATTGGATCATTGGTTTCTGAGGAATGCATGATATTTGAAATTGCCAAAATGTGTTATTGTTCTGAATTTACTTTTTAATCGTTGTGATTATGATGTAGCTTTTTTGTAAATGCATCAAACAACTTGAACCTATTGAAGCTAGGACAGAGTGTTGAAAGAAAAATGAGTTAGTGTAGGCAATTAAGACAAAATAGTGTTTTGAGTGACTGAAAGATTGGAAAAGGTTGGAGCATTAAAATTTATATTGTTTAAATAAATCAACTTGTTTATTATAGTCTCGTTCCCAAGATGGCAAGACTGAACCATTATTTTCTTTACAAGAAAATTTCTCTATTTAGTAGTCTTGGATAGATAACTTAATCAACTGAAATTATGGTTTTAACTGGGCGAGTTGGCTAATTGTTATTATTATCAATAAGGTTTCGACCAAAGATGCTTGTATTGTAAATTTATGAATCACCTATCTTTTATTGGCTTCTGTTTATATTACCTATTTAAAAATGATCCGCATAGTATCTTGCAGCGCAATGATTATTGATGGTTATTTGGGACATGTGTCTACTTACAGCGCTACGCCGATAAACTTTTGTGATCTTATTTGTCTCGGTTATTATGTGAAAGGCATATTCATTCCTGGACTGAAAATGTAGTTTTTTATTTGGATAATGAAAGTTTAAATTTTTCAAAGGGAAGAAAACTTTTACATTGGTTACAAGGGAGGAGATGGTATGAATTTATTTTCATCAATAATTCTATTCCTCATTCTAAAGCCTGGTATAAATACTGGAACATAGTCATTGAGAACTCCATTATGTATTGTATTTCATAATGGTAGCACCAAATTCACCCACCTCAGTTATTTACATTAAGGTTCTTATATCTTTCTCCTCAATGCTGGAGTGATTACTGATGGGTGAATTTTTAATCATTTTATTTTGATTTTGGATAAGTTAGGATTGTGTGCATGCCAAAACATCCTTGCAACAATGTTAACCTTGTGTTATATGGATTAATGAATTGCTTATGATGTTTACATAATAAGCCAGATTTTCCCTGGGAAGTTCATTTCTTATATGCTTATATTCTTCTTGGTAGTCATAAGTCGCTGTCATTTCTTAACATTATCTATATTTAGCTAAAGTAACAACTTAGTAAATGTTATTCATCTTTAAGAATTTGAATGATTTCTCATATTATGAATTTGTTCTTTCTTGTCATCTTTCCTGTTTCGGATGGATGTAACCTCTATTCTCCTTTAATGACATCACTTTCATGGCATCAGGGCTAGTAGGCAAAGTTGACTTCAATGTTAGGCACCTTTCTTCTGCTTCAACAAATTTTCCAACTTCTTGGACTGAGTTCTCCCGCAGCCAACCTTGTATTGGTTCAGCAGCTCATCAGGTTTGTCTTATGCTATTTTTACTTGACATAGATTCAGAGATTTTTGGGGGAATACTATTCCCATTGATATGCTTTGAAAAGATCCTCCTCTAGCTCTTACACTGGACATGAATTTGAAGAATGTAATTTTCAGCTTATCTTTGAAAGTTTTTAAATAGCGGACATTTTCTTTTTTTATTTTTTTATTTTATTTTTTTAATATTTTTTTTAGCGGACATTTTCATTATTTTGTGGTCACTTGTATGTTTTCGTTATAATAGTCTACCAAATTTTTTTATCACAATAATTACTCTTTTCTATCCTCTGTTCTGAGTATAGTGTGCTGCATACCTGGCTAGTGCTTCTTCAGAATCAACATGGACAATGCGAGCTAGCTTTCCAGAATATGTGGTTGCTCTTGCAACTATTGTTGGATCTGTTCTTTTCACGGTGAGTTTTTAATCTAAAATGCTTGATGTTATTTTTATTTGTCTCTAGTAGTTCATTGATTTTATTCTGTATTAAGTGTTTATTTAACTTTAGAAGTTATTAGTTGCTGCTCTTCATCCGTGTGCAAATTTCCGATTTGTTCCTCCATCTATATCATTTAAGCTCTAAGTGGATTTTTTGGTGTCACATTAGATATTTGGTGGTGTCGGGATTGCTAGCCTTCCACTAGGCCTTATATTTTCATTTATCAGGCGTCCCAAAGCAGTTATCACTCGTTCACAATACATCAAGGTTTGTCTTGTGATTAGCTTCTTTATCTTTTGTATAAAGTGTTTTTTTTTTTAAATTTTCTTTATTATCAACTTGTAGCTGTGCAGGTCTCATATTTATAGTTTTGTTGGAGTTGAAACAGGAGGCAACTGAATTAGGTAAGAAGGCTAGAGAACTGAAGAAAGCAGCTGAGGCTCTTCGCGAGGAAGAGAGAAGTGGATCCAAGGGAAGAAAATGGCGCAAGAATGTTAAGGCTGTTGAGAAGGTATTGACACTTTTATCTTCTATTTCATCTCCTGATAAGTTTCAATATTTTTCTGAATTTTAATTTTCTATGTGTTATTAGGCAATACTTTTATTAATCTCTATAACTATAAAGGGGGTTTCTGTTGGAGGACCATGGCACCCCAAGAGTGGGGTGAATTGAGATTTTAAAATTTTTTATTAAAAGAAGACAAAAATAATTTTAAATCTATTTTAAAAAGAAGAAGTAATTACACAATTTTTATGAAAATAATAAAGGAAAATTTATACAACAAATGCAAATAAGAGGCACAATATTTTTACGTGTTTCGTCCAGGATTCTAATTTGACCTATATTTACACTATCCAACTCTCGGGCTAGAATCCACTAATCCTAGGTTTGCCTTGCAAACCTCACTTATTTAAACTAAAGTTGTTTACAATCTAAGTACTCTCATATACTAACGAGTACAACCCAATCTAATTAAAATTTAAACTTCACTAAATCAAATGACTTAGATAAAAAAAAAGCAAAAATACGATTTGATATAAATAATACAAGTTTAAATTATCTTAAAATAAAATAACCAAAATATTTGAGATGATCTTATAATTTAATTTTAATCACCTCAGTATGTAAAAATGAAATATAAAATTTATTCAATTTAAGATAAATTTATATTTTGATAAAAATATGAATAATATTTTAAATAAAAATATTTTTCTTGTTGATTTAAACTTATAACTCCTCAAATCACTACTTTTAAAAATAAATTAGATTTGAAATGCAAATCTATGCCGCATAAAAGAAAATAAAAATACTTACCTTTTTTATCTTTATGAATTTAAAAGATTTAACATAGAAAATTTAATATAATATTCTCAATTAGTATTTCACCAAATAAGAAATATTTAAAAAAAATATATATATGTGTGAAAACTAAAATAACAACAAGTAAATATTTAGAGAAAGAAAACAAACTCAAGAACTCGAAGAGATGTTATACGATTTAGTGCGTTAAAGCTTTCAAATTAAGATTTTGATCTTGCAAATGAAAAGAGCTATTGGAATGAAAATCAATGTTTCTTTTCTCAAGATTTAATATGTAAGGAAGGAAAAACGAATGAAGAAAATATTGTAGTTTTTTCTTTTAAATAGCCCTCACATGAAGAGGAAGAGTGATATTCAAAGAGAAATAATAATTAAAGCTAAAATTGAATAAAATTATAAATCTAATATTAACTTATGAATTAGTAATATTATATATGATAAATAATTCATTTATATTAATGAAATATATTTTAAATAGTTATAAAACAACTAGTCATATGGACAAGTCAAAAAGTCTTCATATATATCCAAAATAAGACAAAATCTAGCTATCCAATAAATAATATTAAAATTGGATAATGCTTATAAATTCATTATAAATTCAATATAGCTCTAAATGGGTTATATAACATATCAATTTCTATCTACAAAATTCAAAGAATCTAATGAAATAAAAATTAATTTATGTTTCTATTAAAATAATATCATATTCAGCAAAATAAAAAATTATCCATATTTTTAAGTATTTAAATATTCATACAATACTATAATGTAATTCAAATCAATTAATTATACATCAGTAAATTTATATGAAACAAGTTTAATTCAAAATGAATACGTAATAAATTTTTACGACATAAGCTTATTACATGCAATTACCTTGATTAATTATCTTTTCATATTTGATAATAATGAAGCTTATAAAATTTATTTAATAAAGAAATCTTGTAGATTTCTAAGACATGCTTATTCTTAATTAGTAATATGTATATCATTTAAATAAATATTTAAATTAAAAGCAAATCAAACCATGCAAATAAATATTAATAAGCATCTAACATACTCCTTAGGGTTCTCAAAATCGAGTTATGGGTCGGGTTTGGGTCCAACCCGGAATTGACCCGACACTGTTCGACCCGACCCGTTTTTGCTAACTAGTTGGTTTTTCGAACCTGAACCTGGCCTACTTCAGGTGTGTTTTATTAAATTTTTTTATTTAATTCGATTTATTTAAACCTAAATTAAATTTAGGTAAGATTTACTTCAATCAATTTTAAAGAAATCAAGCTTAATTCAATTTGGGTAACATGTTTTATTATTTTTTTGGATATAGTATTTACTTATTCATAATAAGCTTTTAAAATCCTCCTAAGTTAATTAAAAATGGTTTAAACCGGGTTTATTTCGAGTTTCCGGGTTAACCCGAACCTGACACGATTTTTCAAACGGATCCCTTAACTAAACTCGACCCGATTCGGGTTGACCCGAACCCGAATTTTGTAGGTCGAGTTCGTGTCGAATTTTTGGGTCGTGTCAAATATTGACACAAAATCTTCAAGCTTTTCATCTTGGTTTATCTTTAGTTCTTTCAACTCAATTTTTTATTGAACTTAAGTTTTGTAATGTAAATTCTATATAAGTAAATATCACGGACATCCATCAAATCATTACGTCTGAAATATTTAACACACAAATTAGAACATTCAATCATATGTTTGTTATCATCAAAATATCTACTTTGGGTGTGTTTTACTAAATATTTTTATTTAATTCGATTTATTTAAACCTAAATTGAATTTAGGTAAGATTTACTTCAATCAATTTTAAATAAATCAAGCTTAATTCAATTTGGGCAACATGTTTTATTATTTTTTTGGATATAGTATTTACTTATTCATAATAATCTTTTAAAATCCTCCTAAATTAATTAAAAATAGTTTGAACCAGGTTTATTTTGAGTTTTCGGGTTAACCCGAACCTGACACGGTTTTTCAAACGGGTCGAAATCTCTTAATTGAACTCGACCCGATTCGGGTTGACCCGAACCTGAATTTTGTAGATCGAGTTCGGGTCGGATTTTCTGGTCGTGTCAAATATTGACATAAAATCTTCAAGCTTTCCATCTTGGTCTATCTTGAGTACTTTCAACTCAATTTTTTATTGAACTTGAGTTTTGTAATGTAAATTTCACATAAGTAAATATCATGCACATCCATCAAATCATTACGTATGAAATATTTAACACACAAATTAGAACATTCAAGCATATATTTGTTATCATCAAAATCTCTAGAATAGGTCATGAGGTGATAATATCAATAATTTCCTTCTCTTTTATGATGACAAACTTATGTTGGGCATAATTATAACAATGGTGCAAATTAATCTTTTATCATAACTTTTAAGTATTAGAAAAATATATATAATAATTAAAAAATATTTTTGAGTGTTAATTTGCTTTAAAAATATCTCTCTCTAAATATATGCATCTAAAAAAAATTATGACCAACATATATAATTTTTTCTCCCCCTTTGACAACATAAAAAATAATTACAAAAAATAATATAAGAAATTTAAATGTTAGGGTCTAACATCCCAAGCATACGTCTTAACATGTAAAATCTCTCTTCAACTAAAGGTTTTGTAAAAATATCAGCTATTTAAGAATCTATGTTTATAAAATCTATATCCATATCATTTTTATTAATATGATCTCTAATAAAATGATGTCTAATTTCTATGTGTTTAGTTCATGAATGTTGTATAGGATTTTTTGTTAAACTTATAACACTTGTATTATCACATTTAATGAGAATATTTTTAAGCTTAATTCCAACATATTCTAATTGTTGTTTTAGCAATAAAACTTGAGCAACACAACTACCTGCGGCTATGTACTCTGCTTCAACAGTAGATAAAATGACAAAATTTGTTTTTTAGAAGACCAATAAATAATTGATGATCCTAAAAATTGACATGTTTTAGATGTGCTTTTTCTATCAACCTTACAACTAGCATAATCTGCATCAGAATATGCAACTAAATTACATGATAATTGTTGCGTCCAGGATTATTCGCGGCGGTAGAGAAATATAAGTTTATCGTCTTAGCATTGTACGGAAATCCGGCACGCAATCAGATAAGAGAGAGCATCTAGCATTTATGAGACACCAAGATTTTTACGTGGAAAACCCCTGAAAAGGGGGAAAACCACGGGGCCTAGCCCAGTTTGAATGAATCCACTAGTATTGCAGTCGATTACAAATGAGGCCCTTCATTGGGAGAAGGCCTTAACTTGATGTACATTTTATTGAGTACATTACATGATGTGAATACAAAGAATCACTATTGGCATGCTCGTTTGGTCGGGAGGACCGTAGTTAGCGGGCGACGGAGGTCGGAAGGCTTGTAGTCGGTGGGCGACGTAAGTCAGGAGGACCGTAGTCGGCTGGCGACGGAGGTCGAAAGGATTGTAGTCGGCGGGCGATGTAAGTCAGGAGGACCCTAGTCGGTGGGCGACAGAGGTCGGAAAGATTGTAGTCGGCGGGCGACGTAAGTCAGGAGGACCGTAGTCGGCTGGCGACAGATGTCGGAAAGATTGTAGTCGGCGGGCGACATAAGTCAGGAGGACCATAGTCGGTTGGCAGCAGAGGTCAGAAGGACTGTAGTTTGACAACGACGATCAGAAGGACAACGTCATGTAAAAATCCAGCAATGGAAAGAAATCCATCTTCGCGTAGACATCCAGCGAAGTCTGATAACCGGTAGAAGTCTGGCGTCGGGTAGAAACTTTGGTGAAGAGTGAAGGTGCGACATCGGGTAGAAATCTGACGTCTGTTGGTGGCAGAAGAGAACTCCGGCCTCACTTGGGCGGAGTTTCGGCATCAGGAGGGAACTCTGTCGTTAATTGAGAAGAATTTCTACATTTGTGGAAGTTGGGAAGAATTCTGGCATTCTCCCAAATATCTGGCAGAATCTCGGCGTGTTCAGGCGGCAGGAAGAGCTCCGGCGGTGGTCGAGGAGGAGCTTCTTCCTTCTCCTCCTTCTTCTCTTATTCTTCTCTCTCTTCACTTCCGTCCCTTTGGTGTAGAATGAGGGCTCTATTTATAGTTTTTCTGGAGTGGCATAGCCCGTAAATAGGCGTGAGATCAAGGGCGAATTGGGAGTGTTTTGAATGGACGGTTGATAT